GTCCTGGTCAGTGGTCGTTTCGGGCAATACCACCCCAAAACGAGCAGCTGTTGTAACTACGTGACGCTGTCCAGGCGGTTTGGTCCGCTTTAAAAAGTGCAAATGAAGGTGTGAAATTCTTTGGTATTCCCCGGCCAATCAAGTCCCCCAGACTATCCTGGTGTGAATGCGCCCTTAGAGTATCCTGAAAAGCACTATATAAATCCAATGTATTACTATTATTATAATTATTATTACAAGATTTTGGTATCATAAGTCTTCTGATTTGAGTTTGTAGCAGAAGTACTAACCAATCATGCCTGAGCCAGTTTTGGTTGCCTGTAGGTCTGTGTGGAGAGCAAAGGAATGCATTGGCCAAAATGCAATTTGGAACCCCCAGGCTATCATTCAACGATGACTTAGCTTTTTATTAGCTTTTCACTAATTGTCTGCATTCATAAGCAGGCATCTGTTTAAAGAGATTATCTGAAATGTTGTCTGAACCTGTCTCAAGTTGCAAATTGAACTGTAAACAATAAGAGGAAGTCTTGGCCTGGATATCCGCTGGCTACATCAGATCTCCCCATATATTGGCCGTTGCCCATAGAGGCTTTATCGTTGTCAGATTATAGCCGATGGGTTCTGGGAATAGGAAAGGGTTGTTACTGATTCACTTTCATTCATAACATATAGCAAATGGCTCAAGGGAAACTGTGATTATGATCAATAAATTGAGAAATTATTACTCCCTTCTGTCTATCTGCATTCGAAATTAATTCAATTACAGTGCCACTCTGTTGCTAGATTTATAGTGGTTTAAAAACAGGTTCAAATAAAAGTGTTAAGAGATATTTCATGCTTTGTGAAGCCATGCCCATAAAGCCGTTAAACCCATATCACTGCTGCCAGCCAACAACACCCAATTTCCATAAAGCCATTTATAGACTTTAGAAAACACATCTTTATGTAACTACCTATGCATTTTTCATATTCAGTGCATTTAGACTGGAGAGCATCTTGACTGTGGAATGACCGTGGAGAGCTTGGTGTATTTCACAAGTGATTTCCTACCCTTGGGAATCAATTACTTAACCTTTGTTTTGATGGCAACCATAAAACTTAACTACCCTTCAGGTCCGTGTATCAGTGACAGTTGACATGTCTTAATCACAGTCTAAGAGGAGTGATGGGCTTGACCCTGAGAGGCCTGTGCTATGGTCTTGGCATGGTACTCTATGTTCTTACAAGCAGATATACATGCTTTGAAGTGCAACCTATTTACCATGACAGGCTGAGCACAAACAGACATAAACAGAGATAGATACGCTGTCAAGTGAAGCCTGAATCTCCAGCCTCTTTATCTTTAACTGATGGTATACACTATAATGAGAAAACACAGGGTCACTTTAGAGAGCGAGCAATCACTCAGGCAAATCAGATTATACTGCCACATTGTAGAAGGGCCCACCTGAAAGACCCTCTCATACTTGTAACGAAGCTGTTCAATGAGCGCTGTGTATGTTTTGCGCGAGTGTCGTCACCACTGTCAGCAGTTCTCATGGCAGATTTTTTCTGTAATCACATGCTCAAGGCAGCCGGGGTCACACACACAAACACACAACACAAGCAGATGATGGCATGCACTCTAAGCAAATAGAAAACACTATTTGTTCAGGTACAACCACCTCAAATATCATTATAATCAAACTGCCCTCACATGGTGAAGCAAGATTAACACTTGAGCGACTCACTGTTTCCAGATATCAGATCACCCTGCGTCGCATTGTCTCCTTGGACATTTCCACGTTTACTGTTCAACAAAGTCACCAGCTCTTAAAAGTAGCCAGGCTATGGCATGATGACCGACTGTATGTGTGACTTTCCTGTGTTTATTTGCTTAAATCAAGCAGTATTACCCCACAGGATAGGTTCAGGAGTCTTCTGGCCGTGGGGTGTTATTAGAGGTCCAGTGACACAAAGGGTCATTCCTTAAGACTTGTGCAAACAGCTTAGGACAAACACTAAAAAAACAGCTTGAAACCAGTTCTTGCTCTCTCCCATTCCTTCCATCATCACATTTACCAAGAGGAACAAGTCCAAGCTTTGTGTTTGGATTTGTTAGTCATTCGGTCCTCTTGTCCAGTGACTGTTTTAAACACAAGAGAAGCAATCTGGATACGGCCTGCCTCACCGTGACATAGCTTCACACCAATCTAGGGTTGCACTAACAGTTATTTTCATTCTTTATTAAGTCATTGATCCATAAAATGTCAAATTAATAGAAAAGAAAGCATCTATCACTACTTCAGGGAGCACATAGTGAAGTCAAATCAGTTAGTCTATTGACAGAAAATTAACTATTCTATCAAATATTCTTCCTCTATGACTGTCGTTTATCAAACAGCTGCTGGTCCCAGCTTCTCAAATCTAAGGATTTACTGCTCTGCTTTCTTTTATTTGATTGTAAACTGAGTATCTTTGGTTTCTGAACTGTTGGTCAGACAACACAAGACATTTGAAGACGTCATCATGGACTTTGGGAGATTCAAATGACCAGCTGTCACAGGTTTCTGATTTGAATGACCAAACACTTCATCAAGAAAAACAACTGGTTAGTAACCCAAGTATTTTACTCACACCGTGGCAAAGGAGACTCAGCAAATAATCACTTAAGATGCCGAAACCTGAAAAACCATCTTTATGTGAAAATGCCTGAAATGATTCACTGACTGCAGTTGATTTCATTTCTTTTGAGCGAATCATCAATTATCGACAAATCACTGCAGCTCTAAACTACTCTAGAAATTCCTCTGCCATGAGGTCAACATGAGATATTTACAGTAGTGTCTCATGATGGTCTAAGGCCCAATCCCATTTCTACCCCTTAAATCTTCCACTTGGTATTGAGTGCCCTTGTTTGCGAGATAACCCTTGATGAGGGAAGTGAGAAATATTAGGGTAGAGATCTTTCCCTAAGAAATGAGTCACCACTTCATGCAAATCGGCATGGCCGACATGCAGGCATACATCACGCGTAGTGGGGATGCAATGAAAATGCTGGCTCCAGCGCTTCTGTTGTGGCGTGTGCTATGTTTATTCTTCTCTGTCTGATGAATCAACGGAGAAGAAATGCTGTAAACAGGAGGCGCCTACGAAGCCTTCTAGTTCTGATCGATTTTGTTCGGGTGAGTCGATTTGTTTAAATACTTTGACGCTGTGTTCAACCGAGTTGCTGATGAGTTAACGCTAGTGCAACCATCTGTTGTTTGTATAGCCTACATTCAGATCGTACAGTAACAAATTGTTTTCCAAAACTTGCTGAAGTTGCTGACGTAGCAAGGTGTTCTGGGAAATTTCATCTTCCACTTCATTGAAAGTGTGGGTCGGGGCTCCCTTGGAATCTAGGACGGGTTTTACGTGTTGGAAACCACTTCCACTACCTCAATTCTGTTTTGGGACACCAGTAACCTAAACGTGAACGCGCACATCCAAGTGCAAGTGGGTATTTCTAGGGGAAGTGTGGGTATTGGGACAGGCCCTATATGTTGGCTTTACCATACTAAATGTGGAATTTTCTAGCATATAATTCTGTTGCAACTTTGGATAATGATTGAAAGCATAAGATCACAGATACAACCACCCAAACTTGTGTTTCCTTTGTAAGGTGTCTGGGTTTACCTGAAGAAGCTTGGAGCAAAACTGTTGCTTCTTCACAAGATACAGGTACAAGGTAGCTCAGACATCTGATTAGGATGCCCCCGGGATGCTTTCCTGTGCCAGTATTCGAGGCACGTCCAACTAAGAGGACACCCCTGGGTAGACCCAGAACATGCTGGGAGGGATTATATATCTCATACAGCCTGGGAATGCCCTGGAATTGACTACTACAACCCTGACCCAGAAAAGCTGCAGAGAATGGATGGATGCATTGGTGTCAAATATCTATTTATTTGCAGCTATAGTCCAAAAAATATTCTACAAATATCTCTACTGTGCTTCAAACAACACACTGATCAACACACGTTTGACCCATTCCCTGCACTCTTTGCTGAAGGTGGCACAGTTCAGACTCAGAGCTCGAGGCTTTCTTGATTACTCACTGCAGGAAGCCCACTACTCATAGGGAGGAGTACAATGAGGTTGACTGGCCTTTTTTTTTTTTTTTTTTTTACAGCATATCATTTACACTGAGCAATACAGCTTCTGGGGAAAAGTCTGCCATGTCAGACAAATTGAGATATACAACCTGTTTTTAGAGTGTGTCAGTACAGTTTTGTTTTGGTAGATTACAGATCAAACCATATTATGTCTCCAATAACTGTGTGAACATCTTACAAGTCAAACTATTCCTCTTTTTGCTGGGGAAGCCCCCAAAACCAGCCAATGTGCCGCGTGTATGAGAGTCAAAATGTACAGCAGCATGTGACTGTGCTGGTGTTAATGAGCACTGCAATGTGTGGCTGCGTCATTTCCTAGTCAGTGCCCTGTGGGAAGTGAATGGACACCCATGATCACATCCCCTCCTGCAGGAACACAAATTCACACTTTCGACAAACTGTGCCAACCTGACACACACACACACAAGGTGGAGATGACACAAGATCAGGGTCAGGGCTCAGCAGGCCAACCTGGACGCTGTGAAGTTGGTGTATAGCCCACAAAGAGTGGAAGATAATGGTGAAACTAACAGTTGGGCCTACAGTATTTCCCCTGCAAAAGTACATTGGCACTCTTGCAGCCCAGTTTGGGAACCTCTATTGTAAGGCTGATTTCCAAAATGCTGGAAAGGAAGTGCAAAGGGAGGTTGTAGTGATTGGTGTAAAGGGTGGGTGCGTCCTTTGCACAGATGTTGCAAGCTCTTATTATCTGTTAATACAGCCTGAATATTAAGAGGTGTGGGTGTTTGCAGGGCAATAACTCAGTGAGCACAGCTGATACACCACATTGCATTGAATTATAATTGCTGTGTGTTGTGCCTTATGTAATTTAGGGGTAAAGGGTTAACTGCATCTGCATCTTACCGTCTAGATTTTCTCTGTCGCTGATGTGCTGGAGGTTGCAGCCCGTGTCCTCCCGGCTCAGCTCCGGCTCCGGCCGGTAGGGCTCGAGCCTGGAGTGGTTGTTCCTCCGGTGTTTGGGGCTCGAGGACACGCAGCAGGAGGTTGTATTCCCCATGGTGTGGGCAGCTTTACGTTATAGTCCAAACCCCTGAAACTGAGTCTCCAGCCTCCAATCGGCCGTGCTGCCTGCGTTACACGAGAGGAAAAAACGGGGCGGTAACGCGGATAGCCAGACCTGGTGCAAACTACGAACCCCGGGTATCCGTTAGCGTCACACGCCCTTTCCCCGAGTCTCCAGCACGCTTAGCCGCACAAGTGGACTCATTTAAAGGGCTGATAACACGCCGAGGTGGGCTAATAAATCAGAAGAGCAGCCCAGTGTCTCCTCACTAACGTCCAGGCGAAGGAAGACAGTGTATGTTAACAGGCTTCGGTTTCACACTCGACTCCCTCGCCTCGCAGTTTCCGTCCAAGCGTCCAGATATCTTCACAAACACATTTTGGTCCACCATTACGTTATGACGACACCAATGAACACGAGGACATGATTATTTAGCTCGTCTGGAGAAGATATTTTTGCTCTCGGCGCTACATGGTTGCCGATGTACTGTACACTGCTGCTGCTACATCCGCTGCCGTGGGGCTTTCACGTGCTCCTCAGAAAGTCGGATTTTCGACAATATTGTTAAGAAATTGCTTCGCGCTTTTAAACGCATCACATATTGTGATTTTAAAGACACAACAGCCCCAATTGAACACAATCGTCATCAGAATAAAAACACACTAGCACACTCACTACAACTTTTAACATAATTAGAGGTAATTTGTGTCAGCATACGTCATTTGCATCATGTTATTTAACTTTGAAAACAACTTGCAAAGAAAAATGCGCAGTATCTATGTTCAATTTTACCTTCAAATTTTTATTCTGTATTTCTGCCGCTCGTTTCGTTTTCTATATTTCACGTATATAAATTGCAAGTAGAAATTACAGTTTTTCCGACAGCACGTAAACACATCTCAGAAACCTACAGCGCTATGGCTGTGATGGAAAAGGTTCCGGTTCAAGTGGGAGGTTACAAGTGTGTAATTAATTATGACACTCTCTTGGGGCTGCAATAAAATATGAAAAATATATTAATGTAGAATATAAGTAATATAATATAAAAAGACACTGTCATGGGCTCAAGTTGGCCCCTGAAGTTCATTAATGGTTTGTTCAATTCCACTAATAAATTTAGCAAAATACTGTCTGTAAATAAAAGTAAACTATGAATATAAAGCATTTTGTTCTTGCTTTACAGGTGCATGGACGCCACTGCTGCCCCTCCCAGTGTTATGCCATGTTATGCACCCAAACATGGACATCTGCCATTTCCTTCTCGCCCATATTTGTGAGTGCCAGTTAATTATTTGATCTTGACTCATGACTGACAAATCCATGAGGGCTTTGCAGTGCCTGCGACAGATTGAAATGGTTGCTCATACTAAAGCTCCCAGCGGGATTAAGTGTGAGATTAGCAGAGGTTAACGTAAACAAAGTGAGGTCCTGAGGAGTGTACTAATCCTGTCAGCTGGTTTCAATGTCACACAAGACAATGTATACATTGATGCCTCAGACCCCACGACTGTTGATGGAGAATGAGTGAGAATTAATAGGATTTTTGCATGATTGTGTTGGCTGACATGATCAGGCATGGTGCTGTAGTGCAGCCTGCTGGCACTGCAGTTTCACTGCATTTGAAAAGGGACTACACCCACATTACAGCCCGTGCCAGGTGTTTAACAAAAGGTGTGATCTGAAAGTTGTTTTTCTTAAAACCTTTAAGAAGATGCAGAGGCAACTGTTTCAGATTCTGCAAACCAAGATCACAGACTAAACAGTGCCCTGAAGCTGATGAGTGCTTGGCATCTGGAGGCATCTACATGCTACTTGCAAACCAATCTGTGCAAATATCAGTGACTTCACCAGAGACAATGACACATTTTAATTGCCTTTGTCTATAACACAAAGCATTCCACCTGCTCTCATTGATTCAGTAACATTAAATGCTAGGTGTTGTCTATTTAGACGGTACTTCCTTTTCCCTACCGGTGCATTCCACAGTGTGGTTTAGTCTTAATCAGGGTGAAAGTTGTCTGTGTGTTGTTGTAGACCGGACAGGAATAAGGTTTCACAATAGGCCCAGGTGCAGCGTAAGTCTCAGTGGTATTGGGTTCTTCCCTCAGTTATTTTGTTTCCATGATGTCTACGAAACAAAGTGCACATGGAGAGTGACAGAGCAGAAAACACCGCACGCAAACATAAAGCAGTGAAGATGTAGCTCAAAAATTATACTAATAACATAGATACTTTGCATATTTTTTAGGTGTTCCATGTAAAGAAAACCAAAATTCCATTCCCATTATCATAACTATGAATCAAGTTGCAGATATCTGCCTGGAGAAGGTACACTTTTCCTTTGACTACAACAAATTCTTGAGTACATGGGAATTTAACTGAATCCACTGAGTCAAAGAATGCCATCACTGAAAACCAGGCCAGTCTGTCCTTCCCCTCAGCACATCCACATTCCTTCTGGATGTGATCTATGGAAAATAAGTTTAAATACTCATTCTACTTCCTCCTCTGCAAGCAAACACTGCACAATGACAGTGCAACTTTTTCACAACATGTTTGTCATCTGCATAAAGGCAACAAAAGATGTGAAAGAGGAAGAACTGCTTCTCTTTGTTGGTGACAATCATAGCAACCAAGTCGTGTTTTTTAATGTATTTCTTATATTAAAGGAGTGTGGGATTTAGTGACATCTAGTGGTGACAATTGCAATCAGCTGACACTTCTCTCATGTGCCTAATATGAACTCCTGGTTAGGATTCCTTCAGAGGTCATTGTTCAGGAGGTTTTTTACCAGGAGCCGAATTATCCACAGAGGTCTCTTCCTCTCCAAAAAATAAATTGATTAAATAAAAACACTGAATATAGCAGTTTAATATTACAAATCAGTGTTTCTCCAATGCCGTTCGGCTTGTAGTAGACAGGTGTGCTCACCGTTTTTCTCTGATGATTTAAGATCCTGGCATTCAGGAGATTTTTACGGGGAGCCGAATTATCCACAGCGGTCTCTTTCTCTCCAAAACAACTGGACCAGGTGATTAAAACTGGTAAGAACATTAAATAAAGCAGTTTCACATTACATTTCTGTGTTTCTTCGATGCTGTTCGGCTTGTTACAGATAGGCCACTAGCCCAGCACTTGCTAATGTGCACTCACCTTTATTCTCTAACTTAAGATCCAGATGTTCAGGAGGTTTTTACCAGGAGCCGAATTATCCGCAGAGATCTCTTCCTCTCCAAAACAACTGAACCAGGTGATTAAAACAGGTAAAAGCACTGAATAAAGCAGTTTCACATTAAAAATCTGTGTTTTTTCGATGCTGTTCTGTTTGTTGCAGAGGGGCTGCTAACTAGGATGGCTTGCGCCAAAACATGAATCGCCCTAGTTAGAACCAGTGTTTGGTTTGTCCCTTTTGGGCTACTGTAGGAACATGGTGGTGCAACATGGCGATCTCTGTGGACGAGGACCTGCTCCCTATGTAGATATAAACAGCTCAGGCTAAGGTAACATAAACAGGATTTGGATTTTCAGGTGATTATACACTAAGGAAAACATACTTGCTATACACAGAGAGATTGTGCAAGATATTTTTTATTGAAGCAAATACATTTAAAAAATGTCTATCTGACCTTTAAATAAAGTGAGATCATAGCAAGACAACAGCTACGGTGTTTCAGAGAAGAAATAAAGCACCAACAGAGAAGACTGTTAAAAAGCAGGATTTCTATTTAACCACATTCAAAATGATGGTTACATAAATAACTTCTAAATTCAGCAACAAAAAAAGACAGCAAAAAAACAGTAGAGTCAAAACAGAAACGTTAATACAATTCCACAAACGCCTGTATTTGATCACTAAATATACACTCCTTCATATTAAGATAAATACTTTTTTGTTGTTGTTTTTTTTTTTGGTACAAACTATGCACTTTTATTAAAAAATATTGAAAATACACAGGGTAATCCTGCTCAAATAATACTAATGCCACAGGTTAGAAGCAGATAAGTCCTCATACAGATGCACAACAGATCTCAGAGACATTTAAATACCAAAAAGGAAGATGGGTGATAAAATGCAGTGGCTGTTAATTCCTGGTAGTTTGCTTGCATCAAGATTTCTGAAGTGGAATAAAATATAACACAAACATTGCTACATGGAGCCCTGATGATCTGATGACCTGATTCCCTTTGAACTCTTGGCCTCTGGCAGCATTTCCTGAACAAATCCCCGTAGCAAAACTGACCATCACAAAGACTGTCAGCTGATACAGTGTTTTAATAGAGCCAAATTATAAAACGGATCATAAAGGAATGCAAAATGCAGTGGAGTTAAAACAGTGACTTCTTCCCGTGCTGCAGCGCAGCCATCAGCCAGGGATTCTCTGCCTCCAGTGCAGCAATTCGAGTCTTCATTTGATCCACGTATTCGTTCTCTCTGACCCTGCATCGTCTGGCAGCAGCTCTGTTCAAAGGGACACTAGTTTCTTGTAATACTCACTGATACCCTGACCTGAAACTAGGTTCTTGTTTTTGCTGGTGGTGGCACATTGGATACTTCAGAGCCAGAAACTTTGACTTCATTGTGTAAACACATTTTACTGCAAGCACAGGGAGTGTTTTGTGTGAGTGTGTGTTTATGTGTCTGTTTAAGCAAGACCGTAGTCCTCAAGACACCCCACAGAAGCAGCCCAACACAGCGTGTGCAATCAGAGGAATTACTCGTCTTTGTGTTTGTTGATGTCTTTTAAGGTTCTGAGCTCCTCAATCAGAGTCTTGTTTTGTTTTTCGAGCACGGTCACGCGATTTTCAAGGCATCTGACATATTCCTTCTTCTTTCGTCGACACTCTCGGGCAGCTTCCCTGGAAGCAATAATAACAGTTACCATGAAAGAGAAGACTTGACATCTTTGCTTCTCTCCCAGAAACAACAGAAATCTCATTCTAGTCATGCATACATTTTCACAGAGGGGAAAAGAAAGCTCACATAGCAAAAGTTACAAACAGTTCTCTCTTGTGGGCACAGACAGTTTAGATGATGATAATTATGACCACATTTGTGATACCTTCAGGACAGGACTAGAGTCAACCACGGCAAAGGAATGTCATAAACAAGAACACAAACCAAATGAATAAAATGCATCCTAGAAGACTTATCTACACACAACTGACCTACTTACTAATGCAAGCTCTAACAGTTGATCAGCCAACTCATTGTTCACTCCAAACATGCGACACAGAGCAGATAATGGAGAGTCAGACAACCTAAGAGTTAGCAGCTAAACACCCTGGATGGAGGAGGATCATGCGGTGGAATGATGATAGACTTGTGGATGTTATTATTGCATGCAGTCATTGTCATACATTGTCATTTGGTATTTGTGTACACAGTGAGCAGCACTGAAAGGGCATTAGATTGGATGAGAATCACCAGTGAATGTGTCCAGCAGAGCCAGATGTTAAAGCCAATACGGATATCAGCATTTGAGAGTATATCAACTAAACAATCAGTGGTCTGTAGTGTAGCTCCACCTTCTAGTATCATCTCAGTTTGCTTGGAACCTTGACCAAAGTGGTACCAAAAAAATATAATATCGGTATGGCTCATTTATCGTCCAGGGTTTAATGTCCAAGCTGGTGAGTAAGAATGGTCCTCCCTACCTGTTCTTCATCAAGCGGAGCTCCCTCTTTTCTATTGTCTCTGCGTGTTTCAGGGAGCTGTGAGTGCTGGTCTCTGCCTCCTCCTGTGGAAGGCTGGAGCTGGCGTTATGCAGCTGGCAGGCAGGCATGTCACCTGAGGTGCCTGAGGAGACACAAAACAACATGCAAGTCAGTGGGACTGGGTTGCATCAGCTGTTTGTGAATCCATTATGAAGCATGTGTTGAAAAAGTCTTTCTGAAGTGCCAACTACTTAAAAACTTAAAATGTACATGTTACATGCTTTAACTAATCATTATGAACTACAGTAATTTTTGATTGCGCAGTGTAATAGAACAATGACACCATTTGTGTTTAGATTGGTTTCCTATGATCTTCGCTTTCACGATGCAGTTCTGTCTGCCTTCTTGTGTGATCACATGGTGAAATAAAGGCTATTATAAAAGGTGATTTACGGCACAAAGGAAGTGCATCAACCATTGTGCAACCAAAATAGGAAGAGGATAGCGCTTTTATTTTCCACAGTAGCTCTAGGTACCTTTCCTGATATCAGACAGAATTGTCAGCCTGTTACACTGTCACCATCTTCACTCTAACTGATGTCCATGGGAAGGGGATTCCATTTTCCCTAACCAATAAGGGCAGTGTATCCGCCTGAATCTAACATCATTTTAAGTTCACACTGATGCATAGCCATGCTAACATACTTGTTTTAAGAGTAGAGCGGAGCGAAGTAAAAAAAACTGCTACTATGATATTGAACAACATTGATGGCTAATCTTAATCTTGTAGTGATTGTCATATGCCTGATTGTATAGCACCTTCCTTATCATCCAATGATTCAAAGCTCTTTTTACACTACATGTCACATTCACACACTGGTGGCAAAGGCTGCCATCTGCTACTCAGTGTCCACTGACAGGCTCTTTGGATGTGTCAGTTTTCCAATTCGTGGATGACCCTCTCTTTCCTCTGAGCCTCCCAAGATATAAAGCTCACATTTGCAATACTGTCTCTCCAGTTCCACCGAGATTTGAACTCAGATCACTGGATTCAAAGTCCAGAGTGCTAACCATTACACTATGGAACTGTATAAATTCACATTCACACACTGGAGGCTATGATGCAGGGTGCCACCTGCAACTCTGTAACCACTGACATAACAATTTGGATGCCACAACATACAGACCGGAAGAACCGAGATCAAGCTGTCAATTTTCCAATTAGTGGATAAGCCACTCTATTTCTGAGGCACTGCTGCCCAAGATATAAATCTTACAGTTGCGATCAGGTTCCACCGAGACTTGAACTCGGATCACTGGATTCAAAGTCCAGAGTGCTGACCATTACACCATGGAACCCTGTCATTTGTGGTGCATGCTTGACAAGAGTTTGACAACAGTGTTCAGTTCTGAACTGAAGAAGTCGCTTGGATGAGCGTCAAAACATCTTCAAGAAAGTCAAGCTGCCTACGAAAAAGCACTTGTAGTGCTCGCCAGAGTTGTTATTATACTACTTATTGTATAGCACCTTTCTCGTCTTCCGATCACTCAAAGCGCTTTTTACACAAAAGGTGACATTTCAACACTGTTGGCTGAGGCTACCACATGCTTCTCAGTAACCATTGGCATGTTCTCACACACTAATACTTTAACATGCTGATTGGAGGAGCCCAGGATCTGACAGATCTGACAAACTGTCAAGTACTCAGTGTATGAACTGCACCTCTGAGTAATAACCTCGCACCCACTCAAAGCGCTTTTTAAGCTGTATGTTACATTCACACACTGGTGGCCAAGGCTACCATGCAGGCTGCCACCTGCAACTCAGTAACCATTGACATATTCTCGGGTGCAATTTGGGTGCTTTGACATGCAGACTGAAAGAGCTGGGGACAAAGAGCATGGATACCAAGAGGCAAAGCACCGTTGAATTTCTGCCAACAGCCACTAGGGGCGCTGCCGCCATTTTGGACTGTTGAGCTTGGACTGTTGTGCCCAGACAACATGCAAGATGTCAAGGAGAGAGGAGGAAAAAAGTAAAAGAAAACAGTGTAGTGCAATTAACTGCAACAACTATCGGTGTAACACTCCGCACCTGGCCTTCCACCGTTTCCCGAAGGATCCCGACAGAGGTGTACGTTTTAAAGTGTTTTAATATCAATTTAATATGCCAGTTTTCTTGGGAAGATATATGTATATATGTATATATAGGCCTATATATGGCCTCTTGGACCATTTATATCAGAATTGATTACTGCTTTAGCATTAAAATATATCATATTAAAATAGCTTATATATTATTATTATTATTATTATTNAGTGGTACCAAAAAAATATAATATCGGTATGGCTCATTTATCGTCCAGGGTTTAATGTCCAAGCTGGTGAGTAAGAATGGTCCTCCCTACCTGTTCTTCATCAAGCGGAGCTCCCTCTTTTCTATTGTCTCTGCGTGTTTCAGGGAGCTGTGAGTGCTGGTCTCTGCCTCCTCCTGTGGAAGGCTGGAGCTGGCGTTATGCAGCTGGCAGGCAGGCATGTCACCTGAGGTGCCTGAGGAGACACAAAACAACATGCAAGTCAGTGGGACTGGGTTGCACCAGCTGTTTGTGAATCCATTATGAAGCATGTGTGGAAAAAGTCTTTCTGAAGTGCCAACTACTTAAAAACTTAAAATGTACATGTTACATGCTTTAACTAATCATTATGAACTACAGTAATTTTTGATTGCGCAGTGTAATAGAACAATGACACCATTTGTGTTTAGATTGGTTTCCTATGATCGTCGCTTTCACGATGCAGTTCTGTCTGCCATCTTGTGTGATCACATGGTGAAATAAAGGCTATTAAAAAAGGTGATTTACAGCACAAAGGAAGTGCATCAACCATTGTGCAACCAAAATAGGAAGAGGATAGTGCTTTTATTTTCCACAGTAGCTCTAGGTACCTTTCCTGATATCAGACAGAATTGTCAGCCTGTTGTATTGTAGAATTACTGCTGATGCATCAGTTAGTGGTGTACACTAACTATTGTAGTTGGTTGAGGAAGCGCTTTTTTTGACAGCTTTACATACTGTTAGGTAGTTTAATCTATGAAAACGCACCATGTTTTACAATACTGTCGCATGTTTTGTTTCTAAAATCTAAATCTGTGAAGCAGTCAGTTACTAGATGTCATATACTTGTAATTGTAGTGGAGAACACTGAATTGTAATGGAGTACAGCCCAAAAGTCAGCATGTAGGTTTTGAGCAACTGAAATTTTACTTACAAAACATTTTATTTAGTTCTCTCTTTTATTTTTATTTATTTATTATTTATTTTTATTTTATATACTTTATTAATCCCCGAGGGGAAATTCAATTGTTCACTCTGTTGTCAATTGCACACAGGTCCTAACACACACATGCACAAACTGGACCTATACATGCACTAAGTGGAGAGATGTCAGAGTGGGCTGCCCATGACAGGCGCTCCGAGCGGTTGGGGGTTCGGTGCCTTGCTCAGGGGCACCTCGGCAGTGCCCAGGAGGTGAACTGGCACCTCTCCAGCTTCCAGTCCACGCTCCATATTTTGGTCCGGACGGGAACTTGAACAGGCGACCCTATGTAATTTGGTTTACCTTTTAATTTATGTATGTTTTAATTTATAAGATGCTGGCTCTATTTATGTGTGTCGCTAGCCTGTGACAAGAATCCCCCATCCGTAACAGAACAAGTCTAGTTAGTAAAATGTCACCATACCTTCTGATTCATGTACAATTAATACATTTTATTGGTTCTGAAATATGTCAGAAGCATCCCTATCAGACATCACTACTGTCAGGGTTCAATGGAAATTTGTTAGAGGAGGTAAACTNTAATACATTTTATTGGTTCTGAAATATGTCAGAAGCATCCCTATCAGACATCACTACTGTCAGGGTTCAATGGAAATTTGTTAGAGGAGGTAAACTACAAAGCAAATGTACAAAATGCTCTATCAATTTCTGATGTGTTAACAAAGGCCTTGCTCCTTAAATATGTGATCCTTTCTACCTGACTCAGTGCCCTGTTTGTTTTTCCTAAAGGTCCATTTTCTTTCACCACAGTATAATAATTTCCTCTTATCAACTGACACTCTTTTTTTGTTTTCTACACTTGAAATTCCCCACTGGTGATCAATAAAGGTTTATCTTATCTTGTTTGCCACCCAGAAGCAGCGGTCTAGAAATCAGGTATTACCTGGCAGTGTTGGCTCTCCATGTTCCTGGGGGCCGACCACCTTCTTGTTGTGCTCAGAGGCTCTTGGTAGAGAAGAGGGTGTCTGTGCACTGGTCATGTGTGATGATGTAAAGGGCAGGCTCTGTGCCCACTCAGGTGGGATCATGGAAGGATGTCCTTGAGGAAACCATGTGAGTAATAATGGATCTGACTTTTTTGTGATCATGGCAGCATGAACTTTTCTTCTGTCTTATGCATAACTATGCATAAACCCACGCAGAGGACCAAAGCAAATATTCAAACCCTGAACCCTCTAACNGTCTGCTGACGGTCCAAAATGGCGGCGGTAGGACGAAACCATGGGGGAATTTGTTGCTATGGGGCGTTCTATTGAGCTTCGCCTCTTGGTATCCATGCTCTTTGCTGGGGATCAAGCTGTCAATTTTCCAGTTAGTGGACAACCCGCTCTATCTCTGAGCCACAGTTGCCCAAGATATAAATCTCACACTTGGTATCAGGTTCCACCGAGACTTGAACTCGGATCACTGGATTCAAAGTCCAGAGTGCTGACCATTACACCATGGAACCGTATAGCTCAGCGTGACAACAGCGTTCAGTTCTGAACTTCTTCAGTTCTGAACTGAAGAAGTCTCTTGGATGAGAGGCAAAATGTCTCCAAGAAAGTCAAGCAAGTCCAGTTGCCTATGAAAGAGCGCTTATGATAATCTTTTAGTGTTTGCCATGGTTGTTATTATACTACTTATTGTATAGCACCTTTCTCATCTTCCTATCACTCAAAGTGCTTTTTACACAAAATGTTACATTTCAACACTGTTGGCTGAGGCTACCACATGCTTCTCAGTAACCATTGGCATGTTCTCACACACTGATACTTTGACAGGTTGATTGGAGGAGCCCAGGATCTGACAAACTGTCAAGTACTCAGTGTATGAACTGCGCCTCTGAGTAATAGACACCCATGATGTAAAACTCACACCCACAGTTCCACCAAGACTTGAACTCAGCTCACTGGATTCAAAGTCCAGAGTGCTAACCATTACACCATGGAACCCTGTTGGTTCTGTTCAACAACACCTTGACAGCACTGGTAGTCCTGCCCTTGGTAATGATTGGCTAATTGTTAGTCCCTTTGCTGTGCTCATTGCATTGTTTTTTTATTTTAACCATTGTGCAATGCCAGACAAATCAGTTAACTCAAATGTAGTAGAGTGGGTGAATTCCAAGGTCTGGACCCAGGCACATCAGTAGCTATCCTCAGATACCAAAAAGTATCAGTGAAAGTTCTTTGCAGTTAGTATCCTCAGTAGCAGAAGTGGCAGACGGTGGAACAACCGAAGTGACTGTGAAAACCAAAATGCATTGCATGGAAGGCGATCCGATTGTCTATTCAGACCATCTACCATTCAGAAATAAAATTATGAGTAAGAAGTATTAATGCAGTTTACAATCAGGGGGATACATACAATTATGCTAGCCTAAGCACCATTCAGAGTAAGTTATTAATACTTACATTTTGACTAGCTTAGTTTTGAATTAAAAAAGATATAGTGCAACATGTCAGTCAGTGTGTCTACTACTTTCATTGTAGTGACAGATTAAACTATCACACAACCTACATCATCATGTCACTCTTAACTTTTTTACATGAGTTTTGTTTTATAAACCAGAAGCTCTTATTGTCAGATGTGACATACAGATGTTTCACGACAATGTTCCAGAAAGCAACCAACAACACTGTATGTTAACTGCAGCTGAAACAGCTTTTTCAAAGACTGATCACATGCTTGTTCAGTGCGTGCTGTGAAATGCAGGGTCACATAAGGCTGCGTTAAACAGACACTAAATAGATATAATTTAAGTGTTAACGTGACTGAATTCCTCAATTTATTCTCTCCTCTTCTATCTCATCAAATGGATGTTTAAGACCCATTTAAAAGAATAAACACACATTAAGAAAGGGTGCCATTCTTATCTACTTTCTTCTGTTCATTGTTTGCCAGTAGATTTCACTGCCCCTCATATCATGTAATACGTTCATGATTAATTCTGCGATATGCTGGAATGACAAAAACACCAAGTATAATCACAGCGTGGCTGGTGACTGACGTCAACGTACATCTTATTTGCCTGTTCCAGGAAAAGCAGTGACGTCAGCTACTGCTGCTATGTGCTGTGAGTGGGCAGAGCAGTGAAGCATTTCACAGAGAGGGGGGGGGGGGGGAAGGAGCAGCAGCGGAGAGAGAGATATAGAGAGAAACAGGGAGAGAGCATGACTGCGGAGACAAACAAACCCTGTGAAAAATGTTTCTTATCGGAGGAAGCTTGTTGCTGCTGACTGTGGAAAATGAGGCCAATATTTCAGCAGTCCTTTACGACTTTTTTATGGGAGCCCACTTATGATGTTATTTGAGATAATTACAAAGCTTTCTAATATTGGTTTGGGAAAAATAGAAACAAATACAGAACGCAATGGCTGAAAATATCACAATAATGATAAGATATTAACTTCAAATTATCCCACATTGATTGTTGACATCAATATTTACTGACTAGAGATTATTTCAACTTCACAACAACAATATAAAAAAGCCCATTTTTATCTGTAAGAAAAAGAGATGGTAG